ACTACTAATTTAATGTAGAATGTACCTGTAAAATAAAAGTTTTGAATTGAAAACACTTAAGTAAGAAATGTGTTTATCTCCATCAGTTCTGGCATTAGGGTAAGGGCTGGGTACACCCTGGACAAGTCACCAGTTTGTTACAGGGCTAACATATACAGACAAACACTTAAAGTCAGACCTATGAGTAATCTTCAGTCCAGCTTTTGCGAATCACTGAGACCGCCTATCAGGATGCCTGATGACTTTATAATGAGTGGCATTAAAGTGTTCAGCTCAGTCCATGTTCTTCTGGACATCATCGCTGTCTTTGATACCGTAGGACACAGCATTCAGATAGGTAGGTTGCAGATATGACTAGGAAAATCTTGCACCACTTTAAATGGTTCTCCTTAAACTAGTCACACATATCTTGTGTCTCCACTAATAATCCCGAGTCATATTTTGCTGCTGTCAGGTATGGTGTCCCACAGGGGTCAGTCTTGGAACCAACTTTATCAACTCTGTACATGCACTGGTCATATTATTCATTGACAAAGTTATTTCTTTTACAGTTATGCTGGTGAAACACAGATCTACCTGCCCATTAAAGCCAAAGTGATTTTAAAAACTGGATGTCTAAGATTTTTGTGCAGTTTCGCTAAAGCAAAACATAACTCGTTCCCAGCATGCAGCAAAACAAATCCTCCCATCTGCTGGTTCCCTGTTGGAACATATCAATGTCAATATCAATATCGGTTGCTAAGGAACTTGGTGTTTGGTTTGATAGGAACTTAAATTTTGATCAGCACAGAACAAAACTTGTGCAGTGTTGTTTTTATTATCTTAGAAATATTTCCAAAATAAGATGTATTTTATATTCCAAAGACACAGAGACCATTTTTCACAGCTTCATCTCCTTACATCTCAACTATTGCACCAGCCTCTTCAACAGCTTCAACCAAAAATGTTATAAGCGCTTTCCTGTAATAAATTCTACCGTCATGCTTTTAACAAGTTCCAAGAAAAGTGACCACAACAGACCTTTTTAACCTCCTTGTCCTGGTTCGCACTATGTTTTACAATTCCTTTTTAAGATCT